TTTTAGACATGTCAGACTTAATATGATTTGAAATGCAACTCTTTTCTCCCAAAAATGTTTAATAATCTTGTCCAGCTAGCTTCCCAGATTATAAACAAAGCACTCCATGTAAAAAAGTGTTTTGAAATTTTCATACACTCTGTGATGGCTAATTTTATCTGTCAACGAGGCTAGGCATGATACCCAGGTATTTGACCAAATATTATTTTAGATATTTCTTCCATCTGCTGGTTCACTCTTCAAATGCCTGTAATAGCTAGGGTTAGGTGAGGCAGAAGCCAAGAGCCCAGAACTCAATCCAGGTCTCCTACTTGGGTGGCAGGGACCAAAGGACTTGAACCATCACCTGCTGTCACCCAGGGTGTGCATTAGCAGGAAGCTGGATTGGAAGTAAAGTAGCAGGACCTGAACTAGGCGCTCTGATGTGGGATGCAGGCACCCCAAGCTGTGAGTTAACAAATGCTTGCCCCAAGATGAGATTAGCATTTAAGTCAGCAGACTCTTGGTAAAGCAGATGAGCCTCCACCATGTGGGTGGACCTCATCCTATCAGATTAAGGTCTGAACAGAAAGAATGGTCTCCACCAAGAGGGAACTCTGCCAGCAGACGACTTGCAGGCTCCAAATGCAGCATCAATTCTTTAGCTGCTGGCTGACCCTGCAAATTGTGGACTTCCCAGCTCATATAATCATCAGCTAGTTCCTTAAAATCAATAGCTCTTGGGGCCAGTTGTGGCAAAGTGGTAAAGCTGCCACCTGCGATGCCAGCATCCATATAGGCATTGGTTCATGTCCTGGCTGCTCCGCTCTGGATCCAGCTCTCTGCTGGTGGCTCGGGAAAAGCAACAGAAGACGGCCCAAGTACTTGGGCCCCTGCCACCCATGTGGGAGACCTGGCTGAAGCTCCTGGCTCCTGGCTTGGCCTGGCTGAGCCCTGGTCATTGTGTCCACCTGGGAAGTGAACCAGTGGATGGAAACACTCTCTCTCTCTCTGTGTAACTTTGACACTCAAACAAATCCTTTAAAAAAAAAAAACTAAAAAATAAAATCACTCCCTCGTTCTTTCTGTACACACACACACACACACACACACACACACCCTATTGGTTCTGCTTCTCTGGAGAATTCTAACATCTTAAAAAATTAGAGTTGGTGTTTGGCCTAGCAGTTAAGACACATGCCATATTGGAATGCTTGGGTTTGATGTCTGTCTCTGGCTCCTGACTACAGCTTCCTGCTGATGCAAATACTGAGAAGCAGTGGTGATGGCTCACGTAATTGGGTCCCTTCACTCACATGGGAGACCTGGATTGGGTTGTAGGCTCCCAGCTTTGGCTTGGCCCATCTTTCTATGTGTGTTGCTACCACTCTAGTCCCAGTTAAGGAAACTGCACTCTTATTTAACTACTGCAATTGCCTTTTTTTGGTGTGTGTGTGTATGTGTGTTCACTTATTTTAATAACAATATGTAGACCACGCTATTACCATGGAATATAAGTTCAGGTTAGACAAGAGAATTTCACAAGTGCAATAATGCATTCTTTAGTATATAAAAGTCTGTGTGTAATGTCTGACCAATCAGACATTATATTGCTTATAAATTTTTTGTTTTAAAGATTTTATTTATTTATTTGAGATGTAGAATTATAAATAGAGAGAGGGAGAGACAGAGAGAAAAGTCTTCCATCCGCTGGTTCACTCCCTAAATGGTTGCAACAGCTGGAGCTGGTCTAATCCTAAACCAGGAGTAAGGAGCTTCTTCCAGTTCTCCCACCAGGTGCAGGGATCTAAGGACCTGAGGCATCTTCTACTGCTTTCCTAGGCCATATCAGAGAGCTGGATCAGAAGTGGAGCAGCTGGAACTTGAACCAGTGCCCATATGGGATACTGGCTCTACAGTGGAAACTTAGCCCACTATGCCACAGCGCCAGCCCTGCTTATAAACTATTAATTACTTCCCCTGTAGGTAATTTAATATTTACGAGTCTTACACAGGAAATTAAAAAAATACTTCACACATCTTAAAAGTATTAATTTACCTTTCTATTAGCAGTTAAAATATATATTTCTATTTCAAGATGGCATTTAGAAATTATTGTAGTATAACAGAAGCAAAAATATAATTCTGCAATTCTAAAAGAGCTAAACTGGAATTCATAACTAAAATAGCCTTACATTAACAAGTGTGATTCTGTAATAAATACTCTTTTGCAGCTGTCTTATAAGCTTGCTACCTTTCGTTTACACACACACACACACACACACACACACTTCAGTTTTGGGAGACTTTACAAGTTTTAGTCCATGAACTTTTTAAAAAAAGTTAAAAACTGGAATAGTCAACTAGTCTGTGAGACAGGCAGAACAAAGTGAGTTAACTGGGGAAGGTGGACTCCTACCTAGTGCCCGCAGCGTGTGATATTCTGCAGCAAACTGGGAGTAACTTCAAGGTTGGCCTGCTTGTAGTCTTTAGGGCTAATTTCATCACAAGGGTTTAAGAATGGGGACATTAAAATGTGACACTGTATTAATCTGACTTCCCTGAGTGACCTATTAATGAACTAGTCATTAATAATTTGGTCACCAGGCAAATCAGCCTACAAGAAAGCAGACCGGTATTCAAAATACCATGAGTTACTGTCTAAACCCACTGAAATGATGTATTTTTGACATAACATGTGACCTCAATATGAGGTGTCTAACTAAAGAAAGCAACTCCAGCAAGGCCAAGAGTGCATCTCTTCTTCTAAGGTTTAGGTTTTGTCCAGAATTCCTGATATATGGAATACTCAGAGTCACCAATCCTACAACAAAACCTGGAGCTGCCACACACACATGGATCAGGTGCGGGGACATTTTAGTACTTCCCCTGCTCTTCAGTTTGTATAATCCACCTGCACAGCTGCTGTAAATCTGCCATTCCAACGGGGACAAGTGGGGCCTCTTTAGCTTTTCGAGTAAGTTTGGATTCCTGATTTTCATCACATGAAGAAAGAGAAACATTTGTATTGGTTGACATATTGGTTGCTTTAAGACTCTTCCGACTGAGACAAATTCCCCACACACTCAGACCAGCTTCTCAATAGCCTCTCTCTCTTTTTAAAGATTTATTTTATTTACAGAAAAGAGTTACACAGAAAGACAGGGAGAGACAGACAGACAGAAAGACACACACACAGAGAAAGAGAGAGAGAGAGATTACTTCTATCTAGCAAAGGCCAGGCTGAAGCCAAGAGCCTGGAATTCCTTCCAGGACTCCGATGTGGGTAGCAAGGGCCCAATCACTGGCAATTTGCAGGGAGCTGGATTGGCAATGGAGTAGCCAGCACTCAAACCTGGGCTCATATGGGATGCCGGTGTCTCAGGCAGCTGCTTAACCTGCAATAGCCTCTGAACACCAGCCCCTGCATTAGCCTCTTTTTAAAAAATATTAATTGGCTTTATTTGAAAGGCAGAGTTAGAGAGAGAGAGAAAGAGAGAGAGAGAGGTCTTCCATCTGCTGGTTCACTCCCCAGATAGCCGCATCAGCAAGAGCTGCACTGACCTAAAGCCAGGAGCCAGAAGCTTCCTCCAGGTCTCCCACACGGGTGCAGGGGCCCAAGCACTTGGGCCATCTTTCACTGCTTTCCCAGGCCGTAGAAGAGAGCTGGACTGGAAGTGGAGCCTCCGGGGCTCAAACCAGCACCCATATGGGATGCCGGCACTACAGGCAGTGGCTTTACCTGCTATGCCACAGTGCCAGCCCCAATGCAATAGCCTCTTAAATAGTAGCTCCTCTTTATTTCTGTCCCCCTTCCAATGATCTTTTTTTTTTTCCCATGGAAAATTGGGAGAGATTGTTTTAAAAACCTGAAATGTGTCTCTTCATTGTTTAGAATCCTTCAGTGGTTTCCCACTGTGCTTGCTCAGAATGCAAACTAACAGAACCATCTGGGAGGAAGCTCCATGGGGTCTGGCCCCTCAGCCTGTCTCCCCGGCATCATCACAGGTCACTCTTCCCTGGTCACAGGAATCCAGCCAATGCTTCTTCCAAGTCCTTGACAATGCCAAGGTGTCCCCTTGCTCCAGTTGCTCCCTTGCCCTGGAAAGCTCCCCCTAGGTCGCTGCATTGTTGCCTCTTTCACATTTGTTTTTCAGAGAGCAGCTTGAGTCTGGCTTGCTCAGAAAGACCGTCTCAACCTCCTGATCTGAGATCTATTAACTCACTCTCACAGCACATCACAATCGAACTTGTTGTAAGTTTACCTGCTCACTTATCATCTGTCTACATCGTGAGGGCACAGAACACACCTATACACACTGCACATGACATTCGGCAAGAAAGGCTCGCTGGGTGAATGAGTGCACCCAGCACAGGGTTTCCCAAAGCCCTCTCTGTGGGTCATGATTCTGTAGGACGCTACTGATGGAGGCTGGAAAACTACCTCCTGCCCCCACCAAAAGAGGGGTTCTGTAGATCTGAGATATATATATATATATATATATATATATATATATATATATCGTGTTAAACAAAATCATATAGATTTTTAAATGTAGGACTTCCTGACATCTTTATTACGTTAACATGCTATGTGATATAATGTATAGCTTTTCTTTTGAGCAGGGATGTCTTTTTTTGGTGTTGTTTGCTAGTTCTTAGACCGGAAAATGCTGACCCAGGTTCTTGAAACCAAGATGGGGAGATCCCCATTAGGGTTTTCCCTACAAAGCAGGTGATAGGGACATCTCAGCAGTCCCAGTCAACCAGTCCTCACTGTGGACTTTCTACACTACAAGGGGTATATACAAGTATGAAAATGGAATCTGAGAACTATTTTCCCAGGATGGGACACTGCAGAGTGGTCACACATCCAGGAGATACATGTGCCCTGACTTCTGTTTCAGCTCCGTATGGCCCCACCCCCAAACCCCTCCTCGGAACATTGGGACGGATCAACATAATCAGGGTCCCCCTGGCATTTTCTAGAGGGGAACTAGGCCCACTGGGTAGTGACTTACTTTCTCTTGACTGTTCAGCTCCTGGTAGGGGATGTGGGCGGGCAGGTAGGTGTGGAGTAGGGCGCAGAAGGCCAAGCCGTCACTCCAGCTGCTGCTGAAATTGGTGATGTCGATGTTCTGTGCGGGAAGGAGGGAAGAAAAAGCTGTATAAATCTCCAAACTGTGCAATGTCACAGAACAGGAGGGAGCTTGTGTTAAGATGAATATCCACCTCTGGCTCTCAGGAAGACAGTGTAGGAACAAAGCGTGCTGGGAGCGCATGTAATTTTGGCACCAGAGACAGTGTGGTGTGGTCTAAATCCGTTCACAGAGTGGCATGGAGGGAAGAAAGACATCGGTGCTCTAGACAGCAGGGACTTTACGCCTGACCCTGGGAGAGTCATTCGAGGCTCTGAGACATCTTCTCCAACTAATACCTCTGGTTTGTGTTGTATATCCCAGCACAGTCAAGGAAGATTCGTCACCAGCGTCATCACCAAAACATGTAAAACCCCAAATGACAAGCTGACCAAGATGAAACAAGGTCTTGGAGACTCACTGGCCGGTCTCCTGCCATCCCCCTCCTTCTCCTCCCTGTCCCACACAACAGCCCCCTGCTGGCACATCTTTCAGGCAGGGGTCACGAGGCTTCATGGGGTAAAGGACTCCTTCAGGACAGGTGGGGCCCCAGGTAGCTACTTGGTACACAGCAACAATGAGACTACAATCTACCTTCAGAGAGGCTCCCAGGTGGCTCCTGTTAGCTCCTCCGCCCTGCCAGCTGCCTGCTTTTCCTGGCCTGTGCTTTCCCTGGCAAGGATGTCTTCCCTGTGCTCGTGAAGCTTGTCCCCAGAGCAGCGCCAGGTTCCAGGGCTCAGCAGCGCTTTCATGTTCAAGTGGTTCTACACATCAGCTGCTCAAATACATTACAACAGCCTGGGAGAGGGGATTTGTAAGAGACCGTGGGAGTGGGGGCCCAGCTCCAGTGTGACTGAGCTTTAGGTCTGTGTTCCGAGGGGTTTTGTGGTGATAAGAGACATTAGGCAAGAGTAGAGCTCCTTCCTGTAGTTTTCTCATAGTTGCTGGAACTCCAGAGAGGCAGAGAGGCAGAGAGGCTTCTTTGGTCTCCTCCTCCTCCTCAGAACACTCTGTCCCGAGAAACAAGAAGGCCCCAAAGCTGGCAGAGATGAAGTGGGCAGACGAGTCGCGGGCCCCTGATGGAGTGGACACTGACTACCCTCCCTCCTTCCACCCTGGCCACGTGAGCCCCAATACAACCGTCAGCTCCCTGACTGTCCAGGGGAGATCACTGGGGTGCTTCTGCCAAAAACAATTTGCAGCTTACCAGGAAAGGAAGAGTACAGCGGAACATGGCATAAAGTTCAACTGGAGCAGAGGAGGGAGACTTTATGGAACTCTTCTCTGAGTGTGTATAAAGAAGTTTTGGAGAATAAACAAGGGTGGAAACGTGTAATAAAATAATGGAATAATGCTTCCTGTGGAGTCTCCCTAGGGTTTTACGAGCACATGGCCTATTGTCTCACTTGAGCTTTTTATCTAGGACTTTTTGAGCCTTAGTTTGAGCTAGCGGGGCCTTCGGCAATGAGGATGCTCAGAGGCCTTAATTTATGGGTAAAGAACCAGGCTGGAAGAGTTGGCGTTATGTGTCACACACATGGTTTATCTGAATGACTGAGACACCAGGAACCCCAGGCCCCACCTTTCTAGCAGTTCTAGCCAGAGTCCAGCAAGACCCTGCCAGAGCCTAGGACTTCCCCTGCAAAGCACCGGCTGTCAGGAAGATGACGTGCTCTCCGTCTGTGTTGCAATTATGCATCCATTTACCCATGGAAGGATATCTGGCTGAAAGCAACACACGACCATAATAATGCCTCTTCATTCTGGTTTTCATGACTCAAGCACAAGCAACTTCTGACAGTTGCTAAGCATCACTGTTACATAAAAGTCTGAGAATGCCTTTGAAGGAAGGGGCCCCATGTCGGTTTTCAGGTTGACTGTGTAATAGCTAGAGGCCCACTGGTAGGCTGATCATTTGGACTTCTGGCTTTTACAAGTACCTCTGGGTTTAACAGCAATCTGAGAAGGCCTGGACAGGGCTATAGAAATGCAAACACTTTGATTTTCTCAAGAGGTTTGTATGTTAAAACAGCAGAGAGAGGGACTGGCGTTGTGGCATAGTGGGTAAAGCTGCTGCCTGCAGTGCTGGCATCCTGTATGAGCGCTGGTTCAAGTCCTGGCTGCTCCACTTCCAATTCAGCTCTCTGTTATGGCCTGGGAAAGCATTAGAAGTTGGCCCAAGTGCTTGGGCTCCTGCACCCATGTGGGAGACCCTGAAGAAACTCCAGGCTTCTGGCTTCGGATCCGCCCAGCTCTGGCCATGGAGGGAGGCCATCTGGGGAGTAAGCCAGCGGATGGAGAACCTCTCTCTCTATCTCTCTCTCTGCTTCTGCCTCTGTAACTCTATCTTTCAAATAAAGTTTTTTTAAAATATTAAAAAAAAAAAACCACCATACAGAGACAAGTTGGGGAATATGAGTTGTGCAGCTCACTCAAAGTCTCAAACATTCAAACCAGATGTTGTGGACATCAAACTCTCAGATGGGGATGGTAAGAAGGACCAGCCCAGCCTTTGGAAATGCAATGGACTTCCTTTCCTTTCCTCTTTTTTCCTTTTTGCCTTGCACAGGTTGCCTGAGTCTCCGTCCCTCACAGTGTCTATGACTTGGAGGAGGAAAAGCCAGGCTTTGTTCCTGGAGGGCATTTATTTGTGTTTCTTGGTGGTTTTGTTCCTGCAGCATCTGTGTGAATTGGGGGCAAGTCTGGTGCCTACAATATTGTTTCGTACAGAAAAGGAAAGCCAGATGTTCAATGATCAAGATCCAAGTGCCTTAAGTATGACTCCTTTAAATGTAAAGTTCCAGAAATGCTGGGGGTGGTAAGGGCAGTGACATTTGTGGAGTGCCCATCACTGCACATTTCCTCACTCAGTGCTCAGAGCTGCCATGCACAGTAAAGCAGAGACATGCCCATTTCACAGACATGAAAGCTGGAGCAAACAGAAATACTGCTAACGACCAGCATCAGGATCAGAATGTCCTGTTTGCTACGTGAGCCTGCTGCCCAGGGAGGGACAGCGTGAGAAGAGGGCATGAGGCAGGACAATTTAAGTATGGACTTTAGCACCATTTCAGGTGCTGAGAGCAGATCCAGCAGCTGCTTGAGTCACATCTAGGACAAGACTGGGGGGTGGGGGCTGAAGATGGGAAAGAGTAGATTCCAGAAGGAGTCAAGGCTGGAACTTGGATTCCTTTATTTTTGTGATTCCTTCATTGTCTGTGGTCAGGTTATGGGCTGCCAGGACAAGGCTCTGGGGTGGACAGTAATGCTCTCTGCACACTGGTCGATGCTACTGTGCCAAGAAACTTGTGCATCCAAATGCGCCAGGTTCTCTCTCCCTCCTTCTTCCTTCCTAAATTTACTTTTCACTGAAAGCTTTTAATACATGCTAAATCTTCTTTTTCCCCAAATGTGAGAACATTCTGTGCACACTTATTTCTTGTACCATTTAGCACTGCTGAACAGAAATGATGGGAGGATGTTTATTTGATCTGAGCTCCTAAACCAGGAACCAACAGACCAGGACAAACCAAAATGGGGTCACTTGGGCTAAGTATCACATCGTCAGATGGAAACTTTAAGGAAGCAGACAGATCTCCAAGCAGCCTAGTTTTTCCAGAAAATAGGAGATTCCCATCTCCCTCAGTCAGCATAAGGAAGCTCCCTCTGCATTAACCCTTATAAAAAAAAGTAACCTGATATTAACCAATGAGGTTATTTTCCTATTGTTCTATTTTCTTGTTTCCACTTTTACAAACCCACTGCTCTGCCTTTGCCTGGTCGGAGCTCTCATTATTTTGTAGAACGGGAGCTTCCCCAACTCATGGATTGGGAATTGTGAAAACCTGTAAAAGCCATCTGGATCTATATGGAACATCACTCTCTCCTCATCTGTACTATCTTCAGAAGCATTTAAGGAGGGAAATGGATCCAAAGGCATGATGAAAACATCCTTCTCACAGAACCCAGAGCGCACCTGGGATGCTAGTTAACAACATCATTTAAGAATAGTTCTTTTGGGACTGGCACTGTGGTGCAGTGGAAGATTGCCGCTTGTGGTATCCCATATGGGCACTGGTTCGAGTCCTGGCTGCTCGACTTCTGATCCAGCTCTCTGCTATGGCCTGGGAAAGCAGTGGAGGATGGCCCAAGTCCTTGGGCCCCATGTACTGGCTTAGGAGACCTGGAAGAAGCTCCTGGCTCTTGGCTTCAGATTGACCCAGCTCTGTCCATTGCAGCCATCTGGGAAGTGAACCAGTGGATGGACAATCTCTCTCTCTCTCTCTGTAACTCTGCCTTTCAAATAAATAAATAAATCTTAAAAAAAAAGAATAGTTACTGATCTGTACCTATAAAGAAGTAATGGGTTGAGAGTAAACTCTTGTGGAATCAAAGCCAGGTCTAAAAAAATCAAATGAAATGACCTATAACCTCTAGAGAACTCAGATGCTTCTGGACTGCTGTGACTGGCAGGTCTTTGTGTAGAGGTGTGGGCGGGCATATTTTAATGTAATCCTTGGGACTTCAGCAGTAAGACCACACAGAGACCATGGAGAGTGGGAGAGAGGGAGAGAAGGAGAGAGGGAGAGAGGGAGAGAGGGAGAGAGGGAGAGAGGGAGAGAGGGAGAGAGGGAGAAGGAGAGGGAGAGAGGGAAGGAGAGAGGGAGGGAGAGAGGGAGAGAGGGAGAGAGAGAGGGAGAGGGAGAGAGAGAAGGAGAGAGGGAGGGAGAGAGGGAGAGGGGGAGAGGGAGAGAGGGAGAGAGAGAGAGGGAGAGGGAGGGAGAGAGAGAGAGAGAGAGGGAGAGAGAGAGAGAAAGTATACTACCATTCAAAAAGAGGCATTATTATGGAAACTCTAAATATAGCCAGGTAATCAAATCCATGTAATCTATATTCTCTGTGTTGAAGGCATTTTTTAGCTCTGCCATTGGTAGTGATGGAGAACAACCAGCTATAACCTGTAATATTATACTCATTCCAAGAACATTACACTATCAAGT